CAATCATACGTCATCCGCCATGATCTATGTCTTCTGCCATTCTAGCATTCGCGCGCTCGATCTAGCACAAGCTCGCGTGTGCACATGTTCGCACGCACGCGCGCACACATAGACGTGTACGTGTAGCTTCTGTACGTGCGCAAGTACGCGACCACATCTCGCGTCTCTATTAACCTACCGCTCATTTTCCGGCTGCATATGAGCATGTCCGCCGTTAGCCACGGCCACCCGCCGGATGATTGCGGTTTGCTTCCGTGCATTTTCAGGAGAAACGTATACCCCTGACAGTTTGCCTATCTTTATGTGAAGCGTCGCAAACGTACATGTTTGTTCACGAGTCAAGCTAGGAAAGGCAATAGTACATTACATTTTGAAACACTTTTTAACAATTATACAAATTTATAGAAAAGGACACTTCAGTGTTATAGGAATAATATAAAGAAAAGTATTACGTGTGTGTGTGTGTATATATATACATATATATATGAAAAATGATGCGCTTTTTAATATAAGAATGGTGAATATCGAGGAGCAGAAGGTGAAGCAGAATTTTGATCGTAAAATAAAAAGTACAAACGAGAAAAATATTGTACAATAATAATGTAATTTTTATAAAAGTGTCTTCATTTACTCGTTTCTTTCATTTTGATTATATCGACTAAAAATGTTTTTTCATTTATTGGAAACATCGGCTGCGTTCAACAGAAAAAGCGGCTTTGCAACTGAGTATTGTAAAATTCTTTAATATTGGTCTTACCCTTAGTTCTTCACTGGATCGAAATGTAGAAACCAATCATATTCAAGAATTTTTACAACAGTTGCAAAGCTGTTTTTTTTTTTGCTGAACGCAGCCATTGGTTGTTTATCGTATACAACGCTTATTCTTTTTAAAGTGACTGAAAAACAAATTCTATTGATAAAAAAGTGACATATGTATATTAAAGTAAAAATTTCCATTGAGAGTTCTGCACAATGAATTGATTAATAATGCAATAATTTTTCTCGAAGATATATCGGCCATTGTTGGCTCGCTTCTCAAAGTGAAAAAGAGACGCTCAACAGTCAGCTGTCTCAAATCTGTTTGGCCCACTAAGTAAGCCGAACAATCCCCAACTTTCCCTCCCTCGGCCTCTTTCCCCCAAATGCATAAAGTGGAACGCGTAATACGAATATCTGCGTATAATTAACAATTACCCGTCTCTTGATTCTCCGAGAGCCGTGGAATGGCCGGTACATGCGCGCAGGCCTCCGCGAATGATTCTCCGATGAATTTCGTCATCGCGACGAATGCCACAGGGGTTGTAGGGACGTAGGGCGAGAAGGGGGGGGGAGGGGGGAGAGGCACGTTCCGCTTTTGGCTCGGGGGAGGGGGGGGGGGTGGTGGTTGTTGCTACGGATCGGGATTTGCACCGCTACCGGTGGTACGAACCGAGCCAGGGAATAGGGGTCTTTTCTGGGGGCTTAACATACACACTCCACCCCCGGTAGGCGGAGTGTACCGCCTACGAGCTACCCCCACTCGCGCCGCACTGATACGCGATATCAGCGAACACTTGTTGCTCCGACGAGCGTAGAACCGACGACGAAGTGCCGTCTCTCTGCCCCCACCCCCCCCCCCTCTTTACCCTTCCATGGTCGCGATTTTTCACGTGCTGATTTTTCCGCTTCCCTCTCCGCGCGCGCAACATACGTGTATCCCCCTACACTCTATTCATTCCCCGCGAATCTAATTCGATAGGGTAATATTCCATTGTCAAAATCGAGTCCACTGCATGATAGCGAACGAAATTAATTCATTATTCCGCAGCGAACGTTGCTGTAAACAATCACGCATATAAAATTGGGAATGTGTATGCAAAATTTTTTTAATATTACGAATTTATTATGAAAAATTTCGCGACTTGCTCCATCACATTAATATTACGATCAAGAAATTGGAATTGTTATTATTATTTAGATACTTATATTGTTACGTTACAAAACAATTTTCGCCACTCGCAATAAAATAACCTGAGTCTCGCTTCTTTCTCTATTCTTTTATTATATATTTTTTCGCTTTACTAATCTTCACCTGTATATTTCGCGCTTTATTCACTTTCAGCTATACATTTCGACACTGTTCTTTCGATACCGCGAACTTGACTTTAAAACGTATCTCTTACGAGAATTTCTTATTTACAGTACACTTTTACGAAAAGCTCATTTATGGTTATAGATTCATTTTGCGAGACGACAATAACTTTCTGTCTCGCAAAATAAATCTAGGTCGTTCTCGCAAACTCAGTTTGCGAAGCTGGACTACGAGCGCAGCTTGGAACTGGGATTTTTCCGAGAGAAGTTAATAAACCGGGTACGTCCCTCGTTTTGTTACAGGCAGTGCGGTGGCTGCAGCCGACACCATTTCCGCGCCGTGGACCCCCGCGAGTTCCGGGCCGCCGCCCGACGCCAACGGCTCCGGCTCGGATACGAAGAACCTCGACGTTGGCGAAATTAGCGATGTAAGTCAACTGTGCCGTCGCCAATTAAGGACGACTGCAAGCGCAGTCTTAGCGCCCCTTTTTATTTCAATTAACTCGCCGACCCGAGTTTGAAGGGACGAGCTTTCCTGCGGCTCGCATTTACTTATGTCATAGAAGTATATAAC